GAGAAAAGGGAATTAACCTTCAATCAAAAAAGCTAAGTGTTTCACCTCTTTAGAGACAAAATAATTAGAATAATTATTTGTAAAGAAGCTGCTTAAATGAAACAGTAGTATTACCTCAGTTTTATTTGACTTCTATTAATTGTACATGAATTGTTGCATAGTGTTAGTTTAATAACTGTCACATATCCTCACCACCACCTAAAGAAACCAATCCATCAATCGTGTAAATATTTTTAAGAATAACAGATAAATGGCCTCTTAGCATGCAGAATTTTCATAAACTTTGTGGCCACAAAGAATGCTGGGTTCTTGAAAAATTATAATTTATTGCAATTTGAGGATTCAATTTGCTTTGAATGTGATGTGATCCCTGATATTTTCTTGTTTCTTTTAAAATAACCCACAAAGTATCTATATGAACACAAACTAAGAAATTAAATTAAGAGAACAATTCTTATAACTCTGTTAGCATAACCATAGAAATTTCTCACATTTTATTGCACTAAGTTATTGTAAGATTCTGTTTTTTTTTTTTTTTTTAATTGAAGTTTGTTTTATTATTGTATGTTTGGTAATTAAATTGACACATTTTGTATTTAGAATTCATATTTTTTTGCTTAATTGCACAGTTACAAAAATATTCTTTTGTTGCAGAGCTCTTTCACTGTAAGACTGTATTCATACAATTAAAGTGATTGGGGTATATATTGTTTTCATTTAAATGAAAAAAAGCAGCAATTCCTACAGTACAGATGACAGATGTAATGCCACATGTCTAACATTGGTCATTAAAGTTAAAATGACCATGTTAAAACATTTGAAAGCTTGACTGATATAAACACTTGAGGAAAAAAAACATAAGTACCTGCTAATTTTAGCAATAGCGCATTGAGTCTCATCAATTTGTTTGCATAGCACAAGTGCATCAATCAGTCAGCGTCAGATTAGAATCTGCTTGTTTTGTTTCTGTCATTCTGGTGTCTTACTAAGATGATTTTAAATGTTGAAAAATTTTCATGGAACTTTGTTGTTAACCGCATCTGTTTATAACTTCAATACCAGTTAATGCCCAGTAAGGCAAGTAGTTCCTTCCAGGTTTTAGTTGCACTGTATTTTTCTACAATAATCTAATCCTGTTGAAACGTCTTAGGACCCCAGCATAAACATCAGTGAGTTGAAAGAGATTCACTCGGAGATTAACCTGACCGTACCGGACCCCATCCTGATCTCGAACCTCCACGACGGGCTGGAAGGGGTGAGTCGCGGTGCTCCGCTTCCTCAGCAGGCGCCTGGAGAACTGTAATGTGAGCAGCTTTTAATCCTGCTCTGTCTGTTTCAGCAAAATGCCAAGAAAAGAAAACTGGAAGATGGAGGTGAAGATGCCATGGGTGAGCTCGGTGTGAAAGGCCTCTCATGTGTCGCATCTGGCGTGCTTGTTGATGGTTTAATAATTACTTCTCATCTTCCAGTGACTGGCACTAAGGTCTTCGTCATGCCGGGTGGGATGATGAAGTGCAATGGAAACCTTGTTGAGCTCATCGAAAAGGTCAAGCCTGAGATCAGGACACTCATAGAGAAATGCAACACAGTAAGTCTGCAATGTCAGAGATATGTTTACTGTATAATCATTCATTTATCACCAACATGTTGGACTATGAAGGGCCAAAACTTCCACTCTTCCATATCATAATATGAATACAACTGGAACTAGACATAACATTTTGTGTCTATTGGAGTGATAGTGATAGGTGATATTCATGTCCACCTTTAAATGTTTAATTTTGCGTTTATCTCACCATTTCATGAAGCAAATTATTCTGTTACTGTGTCTCACCAAATACACCCTGATAACTGTTAACCAGCACAGCAAATGGACTTCAGATCACCCTTAACTATAACCACAGTAAACCAGCCTACTGAAGGCCCCTCCACACTTTCAAGGGAAGAGGGGCCATTTTTCAACATAAAATTGTTATATTGATACATAAATGTATTAATATATTTACAAAATAAATACATTTACAATATATTAGATTTATCATTTTAATATTGCAGCAAGAAAACTTTAGGAAATTAAAACATTTCAATTACAATTTGCTTGCATTACCTATGAATGTCAGCAGGGGGTGCTAACATTGCTGCACTTACAATGTTATCTCTGAAGATAACCTGCTGTGCTGTCTTCTAAAATTGGATGTCAATGTCTGTTTGATAAACACACTGAAATCCCAGTTATTCCTAAAAAAAAAAAAAAAAACCTCAAATTTCACTTCACAGAAAATGTTAAGGATCGGTCTTTTGAGTTTTTCCAAATGTCCAGCTGACACTTTACCATTAGTAACCTCCCACACTGTTGTTTTTCTCTCTCTGTAGGTGAAAATGTGGGTTCAGCTCCTCATCCCCAGGATAGAGGATGGAAACAACTTTGGCGTGTCAATCCAGGAGGAGACGGTAGCTGAACTCAGAACCGTCGAAGGAGAGGCGGCGTCTTATCTCGACCAGATATCAAGGTTTGCACATCTTCCAAACATGCTGCCATATAAATGGAATCCAGTGAGTATTTGACATTATAACACTTATTTTTTATTTCTAGATACTACATCACAAGGGCAAAGCTGGTTTCTAAAATAGCTAAATATCCGCATGTGGTGAGTAAATGTCGTTGTAGAAAAATCAATTTGTTAAATTAGAATGTTCTTCCTCTTTGCTCGTTAGATTGTATAAAACAATGCAAGGCTGTGGAGTTAAAGTAAAACTTTAGTTTATTTGAATGTCAATGGAAAAGAAAATGTTTTTTTTTCTGTCTTTAAATCAGGAGGACTATCGGCGCACAGTTACAGAAATTGACGAGAAGGAGTACATCAGTCTGAAGATCATAGTTTCAGAGCTCAGAAATCAATATGTATGTTTTGTTTCATCAGCATCCATTTACACCTCAATTATTCTCCTTTAACCTGGCGGAATATTGATTTATATTTTGATCTGCTTCCTCTAAAGGTAACGTTACACGACATGATCCTGAAGAACATTGAGAAGATCAAGAGGCCTCGAAGCAGTAACGCTGACGCATTGTACTGATATTCATCCAGCCATCTCAGCCTCCACCTCTGATCCCCATCTTGTACCGGTTTGTCTGCAGGACGACTAGACATTCACCAACTTCAATACAATCATCCAAGCCCTCTATTGAATTCATAGCATTGTAGATGGACACATGCTCTTACTTTTTTTTTAAAATTGTAATTTTTTGGGGGGTTTATTTGTTTTAAACCCTTAAAATTCTCTCAGAAAATGAGGAAATTCATTGTAAAGAAATGTTTTTCAATTTTAATTAAACATGTCTTCAGAACCTTGTGACATTTCGTTTGTAGCTTTCAAATACTCAGCAGTGCTTTGTGACTTTTTTTGGTCCCCTGCAGGATTTAAAACTTGATCATATTTAGTAAATGCAATACATAAGCTGTATTTTTGTTGTTTTTTTGTTGTTGCTCTGAATGTTATACATTATACCTTGTAGTTGTGATGGGAAAAATTAGAGAATAAGTTTTAGATCGATGGGCTTAATGGTTTTCAGTGAAAATGCTTAAGTCACCAGACTGTCTCTCATTATGGGGCATTGATGCTATTGAATAAAAGGTGTTTTTATAAGATGTCTTGGAATCTACTTTAATTGTGTGGAGGTTCAGGGCAGAGTAGCTTCTTGCATATATATTTCATAAAAGTTGAGAATTTATATGAAGTTCATCACTGTTAGAAAGCAGACAGTGGTTCCATTTGACCTCTGGGGTCACTGTAAATGCATTTAATGTTCGTAGAAAACATGAAATTTCCTTTTTTTACAAGTCTGTAAAAGATGTGTTTTTAAAGTTTCTTGGTTATATTTTAATATTTAAACAGTTGCCAACATTTAGTGTACTTACCCTTAACAGAGTTCAACCCAAACATCCATAGTAGAAATGAAACAAGTTAGTATTCTTTGTGTTAAACGTATAGACGTTTAAGATGGAATGACTTGCGAAAATAATTGAAATAACTTGAACTTCCACAGGGTAAATGGCCATTTATCTCCTTGTCTACTGTCCGTTGGATCTGTTCATCCACACATTCATCCTTTTTGTTCCAGTCTCAGGTTTCTTTCAGACTATATTTAAAGCTCGACATCTGAGAAAATATCCCATCAAAATATTTATATTCACACATTCATTTTAAATTTATACAGGTGCATCTGAATAAATGTAAGTACCAACTAAGCTGCTCAAACGGCAGTCAACACTGCTCCTCTAAGTCATTGAATGGGATTTTGCTGCATCTTTTTTTACCACATTTTTTTCTCACTCAACTTTCCATACATACCTAGAGACGACCTTCTGTGATCATTTTTATCCATCTGTACCACACCTTGAACAGATCACCACCAGTCCATCCACTCAAGGTAACTCAAAGGCAAGTAATCATGTAAACACACATCACCTAAGGTCAATTTGAGGAGACTATTTAATCTGATATGCATGTTTTGGACTCCTGAAGTAAGCTGGAGTACATTGAAGAAACCCACATATGCATGGGGAAAATCCCATAGCAGGTGTTCAAAGCCAGGAGCTTCTTACTGCAAACAACTGCACAGTCCTAAATCTGGCAACAGTCTGTCCAAATTGCTCCGTGTGAGGCACACTGTGTTGAAAATTTGCTCACCAGCTGGAGCTCATATTTGTTTAGTTTTTTTTTTTTCTCTGAACTGACTGTAGAGATAAGACAGATCAGGACAGTGTAACAGAAAAACAGCTCAGTCGAGCTGACTGATACGAATGTAAATCGATGCAAACAGTTGCTCAAATTCTCTGACGCAGTTGTGATGTCTGTCCCTGACGATTCTCTGCACCAGCACCAAGCGCAGATGATATCTAACCTCTGAATGTAGAGTTGCACCATAAAGTTTCAAGATAAGCGCCGGAAATAACTGGAAGAGATATAGGAGAAAAAGTAGATATGATGTTCCTATGTAAATTCTGGGATTTTATTTCTTTCTTGATTTCAGGTTAGCACAACCCTTGCATGCTGAAACATTTAAAAACTGTTTTACATTTACAATGATAAGTTTACATGGACTCATGATGATCATAATGCCATAGTTAAAAAAAAAATCACCTAGAAATATGCAAGTATTTTGTTCACACCTAACTTGCCACCAAATGAGTCCAATTATCTGATCCTGTATGTATAGATATAAATTATCTGACCTGTTTCTTCAAAAATGGATCATAAAAAGAAACTCTAATATAATCAATTAATGGGATTTGTGTAAATGTTTTTGAAAAATGTTCATCTCAAGTGAATATTTTTAACTACGGGCATCTTTTTAAACCATTTTAAATGGCAGTTGCAGGTGTGAACTGTGCTTTCAAACTGCTTGTCTTAAAACTAAGACTGGTGCAAAACGTTCAATGCTATCAATACAATGTGTGGTTATTCTCATTCATATTTTCCTATTATGAATGAATGAGTGCAACTGACGTGATCAGTTGCACTGATTGCATGTCTAATCAGTGCAACTTTGTCATTAATGACCTACAACTCAGCAGCAGTTTAAAGAACATAGCAGGCAGTGACGTTCCAGATCAAAGGTGTCCTGCAGTAATAATGACCCCTGCAATCGTGCTGATTTTAGTATCTTGAGTGTATCCTCTGAACAATGTAGGTTACCGAGTGCCAAGTATAAAGTGACACACGTGTTGTCTGCCTTGCTTTCCCCAAGCACACAACACTTTCTGCCCCTTGACCTGCCGTCTGTCTGACGAGTGAGTGGCTGTGGGGAAAGGCAGAATCACTGTGTGCGATTGCAGGGTGGAGGGAGCATGCTCTGGTTAATGGTTAATGGTTGTTCCGACCAGGGAATTACTCTGTTAGTCTGAAACATTTGGAGAAAACTGTCAGTTGACCACGGCCATTTTTAGACGTGGAGAACTCTTTGTGCAAATGGATATTCTGAGGGACCGATTTACTTTCAAAGCTCTCTGTCATTCATTGTTGTTCTCATCATTAAAACATTTTAAGTCCCCCTTAAAAGAATCTTCTTCCTAAAGTCACACAAGGTTGTAAAAATGTGATCTATAAAAATGAATCCGAAGGTACAATCTGTTAAAAAAATGGCAGACGATTATTAACATGTTGATGACACTGACATGCGACGAGACTCGCATGTCATTTATGTATGAGAGTACATAATGGGAGCAGGAGTTTAAAAAAAAAAAAGAGGTGTTGAATTTTTCTTTGAGACATAAAAAATACTGGATATTGCTTGCTCAAATAAAACATCCAACATTATTGTTTCACCAAATAGTAACAGCTAATGGCACAAAACAGAATCGCATTTATTGTATTCAAATGCACCAGATGCATGAAATGGATACAAACTGGAATCAGTGAGACTGCACACTATAAAAGTATTGTCTATAAGATCTATAAAACATAATATCTCTCCAATATCTCTTCTAATACCAGCAACACATTTAACCTCTCGATGTCAGTATTAATGACCAAAGCACAGAGTTCAAATCATTACACAAAGCAATCTGTTGTCATCCCGAAAACATTTTAGTCGTTGCTATCATTGTAGAAAAAGCTCACAATTCATTAAATCACAGACTGAAATCTGGACTTTTTGTGTGAGATATACATTGACATAAAGGAATTCAGTTGTTGCACAATGTCTGTATAAAATGTGTAAACATGCATTAAGATTTGCTTTGCAAATGGCCTGTGGTAGAGAACTGCTTCTCTATCTGTGGCTAAGGATGTAACACAAATTAATATGTTTAGCCCCTTTCACACTCTAAATTAATTAAGTTATAGCTCCTACTTTTTCTTGTTAGGGTATTCGTAAGTTCCCCTCCACTGAAATTTCAAAGTATTTTTTTTCAAGTATTTATTTATTTTTTGCTAAATAAACTGTTGAAGATATTGCCTCAACAACAAATTGACAAAAAATAGGCCTGTGTCAATGTTAGCTTTTTATCTCAGCTTATCAGGGTAATTTTTGAAATTCCTCCTGATGAGGGGAGAGCGAGTAGACAGGTGCAGAAATGTGGGGCAGATGCTCAAATTTTGGTTGGGATGTTTAATCAATATGCTGTAATATTGATTAAATGTCATTTAAGGCCCAAGGAAAGTATTTCAAAGATAATTAGGCTCACAGCCCTAAGGGCAACTAGAAATGACACTGGTACTTTGTTTTTGAAGTAAAATATTGGCTTCTGTTTATCAAAAGGTACGCTTGTTTATGAAAGCTTGGATTGCTTGTATTTTTTTAATAACACAAGCTGGTTCCTATTTTTGTCTCCAGTACAGCTTAAGCAACTCACCGATTAAATGTTGGTACTTGTTTCCCCAGTTTTCTTTCAAATATGGAACAACTAGTTCCTTATTCACAAGTTCTTATCCAACTCCATTCCTTTGCGAATCCTACAAAGAGCCCAAGGAATTAAGGTGGTTGGGATTAAAAGTGCAAAAGCACTCTTACCAAAAGATAGGATATAGAAAGTCATGTGGTTGTCTGAAGAAAAGGTCCACCCATCCAGGAGATGAAGCAAGAACAAGGAGATCAGAATGCACCCCATCTTGAAACCAGCATTTGCGTTCTTCTTGACCCCATGGTAGAAGGGAGAGTGCAGTCCCAGTCCAAGACCAAACAGACTACCCATGTTGCGTAGGAGGCTGGCAAAGGGTGTGGTGTCCAGGTGGATCCACTCTGGCTTGAGGCACCATTTCTGGGCTTTGTCTAGGGTCCAAAGCAGGTCCACTCCTACAATTTTAAGCAGCAGGTAGAAGCCAATAGCGAAGAAAGTCAAGAAGAGGGTGATGAGGAGGTATTTGCTCATGCTGGCACTGTAAATCCATTTCTTCTTGGAGACCATATCAGCAACCACTATGCCTGAAAAATAAATGAGAGGTGGGGTCTTAACATAAGGTTTCTATAAAACATAGTGAATCTTCTTTTAGAGCAAAGGATTTACACCAGTTTTATCCTAGTATTACTGAGAATGTCTTGAGTTTTTCAGACTGTCATCATACCTGTGATGACCCCCTCAACAACTTGATGTGGGAAGTGAGCCGCCATGAAAACCCTGGACATGCAGACGATCAGCACCACCACGACCATTAAGGTCCACAAGCTGATCTGCAGCAAGCTAACGGGATAACGATATAGAATCAGAAGCGCCAGAAAATTCTCAAGAGCGTTGAAGAAATATACAAATGCATTACTGAGAGACTCACCTGTATAAAAAAGAGGGGCATTGTTTTTCTTTTGCAATTGAAAGCACAGCGGTGACCATCACATACCACACACCAGCTACACCCATAGCATGACCTGAAGGGCTTCCTGGATTAGGAATACAAATACTGTTGTATACAGGTACGCATTTTTATTGTATTTTACTTTTAGAGGAAATCAAATAAGATTGTCATCTGAGAATACTTTTAGTTATGTTGCCGTATTTCATCTACTACATATATATAGATATATAACATTTGTAGGAGTATTTACTCTTTTAAGTATTCACTTATATCCCTATAGCCTTTTTTAAATGCATAATTTATTTATTACAAGATGCACCAGTTATGTCTATGGTCTTTTGGTGATAATCCTACTGTTGTGTAAATGGAAAGTTTTGATATATCTCTGCAAATGTTCTCAGTCATCTTCTCTATTTTGCTGTTTATCTTATTTTTTATTTTGATGGAAATGGGGAAAAAAAGACACAACAAAAAGTATTGTATAACAAGGTGTGCTTCAGTTTTGCCATAATCATTTCAGACATAATTCTAATCAATCTCAATAATTCACAAGATGTTACACTATCTTCCGTAATATCTAAACAAAAATGGTAAGCTGTGAATTGCTTTAGTGAAGAGAGAAACCAGTACAACTGGACAAAAGGCACGGGAGTTGAGAACTCATTCATAAATCTTCTATATTATATCCATTGACTAGAAACCAGAACAGAAGTCACCTTCTGTCAATGATTTACATAGATATGAACCAGACTTGGAGTTCACCATGCTACATTAATGAAATCAATGATTAGTTGATTCTTAAGAATAAGACAGACGTCATGTGATCAGCAGGTCTAGCCTGAATCTTACCTGGTCCAGTTTCACATGTGATGGGAAACTGCTGCAGCGATGGGGCCTTTCCTGCTCCGTAAAACTGGGTTTCATGAATCCACCAGTACGGCCGCTCTCCGGAAAGAACCCTGCATTAAAAATCATTTAAATCACTCTGCATGCTGTTAATGTGCACTTACACAACTCTTTTATTCTTTTATTTACCATTTTAGCACTAAATTGAGCCAGTCTCCAATGACAGCCACCCAGATTAGCCTGACCCCTGTGTCCTTGCGCATGTAGAACCACACGGGAAACAGGCAGAAGAACGTGGTGTGCAGATCGGCCACGGCAGAGGCGAGGCTGAACAGACCCTCGTACTTGCTGTATCTGGTCTGTAGATGACTGGTCAGCTCAACCCCCCAGCTGTGAAGGATATCCATGATATCGCAACTCAGACCTCGGACCTCGGGTGATAGCTGCAATCTGGGCTCCTTTGTCGTATGTGCAAGACCCAGTTTCTGCAAAGCTCCCTCTCAGAATGTCCTGTCTGCTGGTTCTCTGTGTGATCCCCATTGGACTTTACTCAAGGCTAGCGGATTTGTTTACCTTTGGGACAGTACAGACTAGCAGTTCCTTAACCTTTATACCCCTCCTGAGGCCATTTCTGTGAAAATCCATCCATAAAGAGACCAGTTGCTTCCAATGGTCATGTGTCAAATGTATTTGTAAAGCTCATTATAAAACAAAGCCAATTCAGAACTTGAAAATGTTCAAGTTCTGTACAACTAATTGAATATTTCAAAATAATAAAATGACATTTACAAAAAATAAAATAACATCTGTTCAGACAGATTTGATTGCAGGTGAAATAAAATTGGCACATACTTTTAAGTGTCCAGCATTGGAGATGTCCCAGTGTGTGGAGGTATTGAGTGTACCATGAAGTTCTTGAATATACTATTTCTTAAACTTCACATAGAAACAAAAAAAGTTCAGTGGTTCTGTGGGAGTATGAAGAGGTAGAAAGAATTGTGAAGTTGTGAGTTGTTTCTGTGTCCTAAAATCTATTCTAAAATGTGCAAGCAGTCAAGAGTAAAAAAGCCAGTAAAGGAAAGTTAATTCATTGATGGCACATCCAACTTCCATGCAGAAATACTCCAGTTTGGGATTTGAACCCAGGACCTTCTTTCTGGATGGGAACAGTACAATTAACTGTGCTGCTGTGCAGCCTGTGAATTTGACATAAAATCAATAAGAACAGAATTTTAAAGTCAGACGTGTGGCCCTTTTGAAAAATATGTCCAAGTAATAGACCAATATATGCACCCAATGCTTGGATAGGGCTCATACATCCTCCAGTCACATTCGAGGATCTCAAAGCATTCAAATGCTAGATTTGATTAAGAAAGCCCTACAAAAAATTCTGGGTCTGCTCTGAGGGACTTGCACAAAGAGGTATCTTTATCTGTGAAATGAGACAAAAAAAAAAAATAGTGCTGAGGTCAAAAGCTCTAAAGTCACTAATATGCCGAGTCAGTAGAAGATAGCAGATCATTTCCGGTCTTGGAAGCGAGTCTATCTCAGAAAGAAAACATGCAAAGTTTTTAATTTTAATTATGAACCCAGTACACAGATTATTTTTATTAAATATACCCATTTATCTGGACTTTCATGCATAGCCTGATGCCATTTCTTCAGTTTGATCTTCAAGTGTTCCCTCCTCTTCTGCTCACCTCAAAGTCAATCGCTTAATCTTTGATCTTCTTATGTAATCCACGAACAAGTTGCTCCAGCTGAAAACTATTCGCCCAAATCATCGAAAGAACAATTACGTAACTCACAAATTATGAAAAGCAAAAGTTGGACTTGATTGAACATAAAGATAGAAATTCAGCAAAGTGCCATTATCAATCCTTCTACAGGTGACAGGTTTGACCTCTTCTTTGATCTGACCCAGTGTGACTCAGTGGGAGATACTCCAATTGTCCTTTTGTTTTCCCTTTATCTCATCAAGTTGTTTGTGTGAAGAACCTCTCAAACGCTCGGTGCTTTATTACACATGTGTAAGGTCCAAAGATCAGCGTGAGCATGCGTTTGGGCAGTGGGTCCCCGGGTATAAAATCAACCAGCTGTGTCACTGATAGCAACAGTCCTCTCTTTTTGAACCAGCTTACTCGCAACTCAGCAGGCTGAGACCTTTCTGCTTCCTGCAGGCGAAGATGCTCACTGATATCATGGATGCCATGGAAGGTTTTGGGGTGAGCAGCACCCGGTACCTGCAGACCAACTACAAGGACGCCCAGGGCCTGTTTCTCTGGGTATCCTGGGCAGCAGATCTCAGGAACACCTTCTTCATCTTCTTCCCGCTGTGGTTCCACCTCCGGCCCTCGGTCGGCATCAAACTCATTTGGGTAGCTGTTATCGGAGACTGGCTGAACTTGGTGTTTAAATGGTGAGCTGAATGTTTATCTGAACTCACCAAAACCATGTTGAATTTTTTTCTTATGGCTTCTGACACGGTTTGTGTTTCTTCTCCTCTCAACAGGGTTCTGTTTGGAGAGAGGCCGTACTGGTGGGTCCATGAGACGGCTTATTACACAGATGCTGATCGCCCTCACATTGAGCAGTATCCAATGACCTGTGAGACCGGACCAGGTGATGGACACTACTGAATACACATTTACTTCCTGATGTACAATTGATTGTTATTAATTATTTTTATATATTTTGTGAGAATTCAGGTGTTCTGGGGCAGTTTAATCACGTCCCACACCTTGTTATTGCCAATTCTTTAAAGTAACTTTTTTTGTGCTTATGTATAAATGTTTAATTTACCAATAGTAATATTTGTTTGCTATTATAATTAATAGGCTGCATACTAAATACCATGCCACTACTATGCCACTTGTGCTATGCAAACATATATAACAAAGAATAAAAATAAAACAACTGTAAGACAAATGAACCTAAAAGATCACAGAGAACAATATTAAGATACGGTGTAATTTATGTTTGAGTTTATTTTTTCCTCTTTCTTGACCTTCTTTTGCAGAATGTATAGTTTCACTCTAGTTTTTACAAGGAAGAGGAGACAAACATATGGCAAAATGATGATGCATATCATGAATCATCAAAAGAATGTGAACAAACACAACAGAGTCAACATTTTGTCAATAGATCAATTGTCAGCATTGAAAAAATGTAGCTTTCTGTGAGCTGGAGTATTTCTTAGCTTCAATATTTGCTTTCTGTCTTTTTAAATCCAGGCAGTCCCTCCGGACACGCTATGGGAGCTGCAGGAGTCTACTACACCCTTGTGACTTCCATCCTTGCCATTCTGACAAGCAAGAAATCTTCAAACACAAATTGGTAGGTGACAAAAGAAAAAAAGAAAAAACTTGCTATTTTAACTTAGCCCCCCTCTTTTCCTTCCCATTACGTCTGAGTTGTTTACCACTTTTCTCTATCAGGAGCTTATCATTCAGGACACACTATCTGTTGTAACTGTGGTTGATCATTGACTTTTGCTGTTATTCCTGGGCTGTTTTTTCTTTCAGACAAATAAATTACTAGTGATATGGAAAGGATAAAAGTTTTAATTCTTATATTGCATTGAAAGGTTCAGATGGCTGATTTTAACCTGGAGTGCTGATATTTGGGGCAAAGCAAAGCAATTAACAATGAAGTTGTCTGTTTTCTTTTGTTGTTATTTTGCAGGTATCTGAAGGCTCTTCTGTGGTCCGTGTTTTGGGGAGTCCAGGTGTGTGTCTGCCTGTCGAGGGTTTTCATTGCTGCTCACTTCCCCCACCAGGTCGTTGCTGGAGTCATAACAGGTCAGTGGAGAACTAGTACAACTTTTCAGGATGTTGAAGAGATAGTCACTGGCAATCGAGCCTAATAGTTGATGTGCTCTAATGCTGCCAGGTATGATTGTGGCCGAAGCCTTCAACAGAACTCAGTGGATCTACAGCGCCAGCATGAAGAAGTATTTCTACACAACACTCTTCCTGACAAGCTTCGCCGTGGGCTTCTACGTGCTACTCAAAGCTGTGGGCGTTGACCTTCTGTGGACCTTAGAGAAAGCCCAGAGGTGGTGTGTCAGACCAGAGTGGGTCCACTTGGACTCCACGCCCTTTGCCAGCCTTCTGCGCAACATGGGTACCCTGTTCGGCCTGGGCCTGGGCCTGCATTCTCCACTGTACACCGAGACCAAAAAGAGCAGCAGTGCATCAGCCAGAGCGGGGTCCATTCTCAGCTCTTTGTTTCTGCTGCACCTGTTTGACTCCTTCAAGCCTCCCACACACACTGCAGCCCTCTTCTACCTGCTCTCCTTCTGCAAGAGCGCAACCGTTCCCCTAGTCACCGTCAGCATCATCCCGTACTGCGTAAATAGAGCTCTAAGCCAGCACAGCAAAAAGGGGATGTGAGCAGCAACTCCGAGTTGTGAAGACCAAAGCAATGCAAGTGCAGAGAAACTGTGAACATTAATAATAATGCAAATAATAATAGCCTTTCCTTTGGTGCTTTTTGCATTTAAAAGACTGTGTGACTCAGGAAAGAGCTTGTGTCATTTACATAATGAACTCTGAACGCTGAAACAATAATAGAAAGCACTATCCAGAATGCTTAGTAGGACTTACGAAGAACTGTAGTAAAGATAACAAAACAAGATTATTGCAGTTGTTTCAGAGTTCTGGAGGGAGATGAATGAGTCTATTCTTGAATGTTTGCTCCTAACCTTTGATATGCTATTTTAGTTATGAAACTATTGTATTTTTCAATGTGTTTTTGAAATGTTAAGAATATTTTTTAAATAAAAAAAATAAAAAAAGACTTCTGACTTGTAAAAAAGCTTTGACTTTATTCTTATTTCAACATTTACACAACCCTGTGGTAATTGGCTGAGTGCTGCTATTTAAATCTCATAAAGTTAATTACATCCCATCCACAGAGAAATCAATCTCCTAGGTTTTACAATTAGTTGTAAAGCACATGATGAGTTTACTTTGGCCTTTTTTAATTAAGGGGAAACGCCTTGTTCAAGTTGGAGTACATGAAAATGCCTGTGAAAAGTCAAAGGATTTTGGATCCAGATGAACAGCTTGAAAAACAAGAAGCTTAACATTTTGGAAAATGTGTGAAAAACTACTGAAAAAATGTAAACAGTCAGTGTACAGAACACACAAAAAGAATAAAAGGCATCGCAGTTGAAGTCTGGCAAGTTGAACTGCAACTGTGCAACTATATTTAGACTGGGTTTGAACTGCACAAATGAATATTCTTTACTAATAATGTGACTTGTTAAGAGAATTGGTTGGATGCATGTTATAGTAAAGGGTACTGAATACACATTTTTGTTGCATGATATATATTTTTAATAATTAAAATCATTAATCATTTTTCTTCCACTTCTCAGAGAAATGCTACTTGTGTTGGCATGTTGCATAAAATCTCAGTAAAATATATCTATGTGATTTAAAAATAATAATAACAGTGAGTACTTTAGCAAGGTAATCTGTTCATACTGTACAAAATGGCACTTAATAAACAAACAATATATTTTTATTTCATCATAC